AGACTTTTGAGTTGAAGGCTCCGGTTAGGGTTCCCAAAGAAAAACCCCTTCGTCGGTGTGAGCTCCCGCTAAGTATACTGTGCCCTAAAGTCTTAGGTATCCATCTGGAAACTGACGTTCTGACAATCTGATCTATCTGCGGCATCAAAGCGACTTTCGTTCGCCCACCAAGTTCAAGTAGGCTGTTGTCCATTGGGATAACTGAATGAACAGGAATGAGATCAGGTCTAGTGCGTCCAAGTTGGTTAACTAGCTGTTATTAAAATTCACGTATTTTAAGGTTCGGTGCCAGAAACCCCTCACCGTCATTGCAACTTCGTGATAGGATGTTTTATTATCCTGCAGCTCTATATCACCTCCTCGTTTTGGAAATCATTATCGTACAGCGAAATACAGGAAGGCAAACTTTACTGATCGCTGCCAAACTCGAAATGCATATACATTGGGGTTTGATTGACCGGTACTGCTAGGGTGTCCAGCCACTAAGAAGGAGCGTTTTGGAAACTAACGTGGTTATCCACTTGATTGACGTGACAATTCATTACCGATTTTCATTACTGCACAGCAGGTCCTCGTGATTGAGTTTTGCTTTTTCGAACAGTGATCATATGAACATGTCTAATAAGAAAAAAACGTTAAGATCGGGCTCCGCTACAAGTGCCGAGGCTGTTGTGAATTGAAAAAAGTGATCACTTCACAAAACTTGACAAACAAGTATAAATACCGAGCAATCGAAACTGGATGAAGTGGTACACAATAGAAAACTCGGTTTAGAAAGTATAGGGCGCTTTTCAATCATACACTGAATAATCTAGACGGAAGTGGTAAATGTCTCGTGAAGTGGTATTTGCATGTTGCTCTGATAAAGTTATTCATTTTATTTCATAACTTCCTCCATAGTGCTATCCCATTTCGTTGTACAAAAAAGGCACAGCTTAAGTACAGTCATGTAAGATGAACGGTTGTCTAAACTGATATGAATAAACAGCACACGATGTGCTTAAATTTCCAGTTGGTCTATACGTGGAGGGAGATTTGTGACATAATCAGTGGAAAAAGACGAACACACAACAGTCCGTAATAACATTTTGTGAATTTTTCTTCGCCCGAAATAATGCCCGTCTTGATTAGTAGTATATATTGCAATGTCTCGGTACACTTGCCATTTACTGAGAACAAGCTTTTTCATCAATGTTTCGTTTGAAAAAGGACTTTTTGAAATATTTTATGCACTACTCTTGTGAACTAACGGTATGCAAAAATGCAAAGCAGTACCAAATCTATCTGTATGCAAAACTGATTTAAGAACGGAAACTCACGAAAAATGGGATGAACTTGCAATGTGGGAAAAGAATTGCGGATCTCTTTGGCCCGGCGAACTGATTCGGAAGACGCTTTGGGACGTGTTTTTATGAAGCGTTTCATGGCATTGGTACAGACCTTGGCCATGGATTCCTGTCCAACAAAATATGTGCATCACACATATAACTAACTAGGATGCAAAACTCACTGGAACATGTGCAAGTAGAAACATCTAAAGTTAGCAGCATTCCGTACAACAGCAAACGATCGATCTCTCGTATAAAGATTATTGCATAATGAATTGTTTACCACAAGTTGCATTCAGAAACGAGTGTAATAAGTGGATATATGGATGAAGAGAAACGGCAGTTCAGCGGTAGTTTATCCCATTGACTAATTTGGGTTTCTCGTTGAAAAAATTGGGAAGGCTATGAGACTGTTTGTGAGAATTTGGTGCTTTATAGTAATAATTCATCGTCTGCAAACAGTGGGAGTGGGCGAGACCCATCGTCCGTTCGGTTGGATGCAAGCGCATGGGCTTCTTTTTGACACGCCAAGAGAGTTCATTTGAGATTTAAAATATCCAGCTAGAACTACCATGTCCGTTGACTGAACATTTAAAAGCGGATGACAGAGATCAATATGGAAGATATCCCTTATTTCCGGTGAATTGTAATCGGTAGGGGCATTACAGAGACATGACGAACAAGCAGCTACGCATGGTTATGTTTACAGACAGCTATAAGAGACCCTAGGGCACGACATACTTCGTGGCAGCCCACATCGACCAAGGGTTTCCGTTTGGGCACTTTGACCGAATCCTTCCAAAAGTCGAACCCACAAGGCACTGGAGCGTAGATCCAACGCGGGGAGAAGTATCCAAAGCACCCGTATGAGAGCTACTAGAGACCTGTCAAGAAAGACTCCCGAGTTTATCTGCAGTGTTGTTCGCAGTCAGCTCACCTAGTCACATGAAACCCATGAGAAAGGCGAAACGTGGACGGGACTACACACTGTCTGGGAGCTCGGGCGGGTGGCAGCACAATGAATTGTGAAAACTTGTCGCACCTTCATAGGAGATCCCCAAGTGCCCCACTCCTACGATCTCTTGCGTTTTTTCACTGGTACACTGACCTTCTCATGTTTATGAATTGGACTGACCTAAACACAGGTGATCAATCAGTTGACCTTGTGAGACAGAGCTTTTCATGGCTCCTGTCTATGACCTTTTGGGTGTGACTGGATCTGTGATTTTAAAAGGTCATCCTATGTAGATCGTGGGGTCACGAATACATGCAAGCATTATATTACATTAAGATGTAGTTCCATCGTGATGGGGTATTGCAACGGTGATTTATTTTGGCTGAGAGCTTGTATACAACTTGCCAACGGTCAAAGCACATGCAATAAGTGATCATTCGGATTTCAATCATACGAACCTCACGAATAAACTCAGTTTACGTTCATCACGTGTGTCCTGAAAGCCTTGAAATCGTGGAAGCGTATCGCATAAGAGATTTTCATGATTTTCAAGTATTCTGGACAATCAGATGTCCGTTTATTGGTAAAAAAAACGACTTAATTTGACCATCGTTTTGCCCCAACGCATTAGTGAGTTTAGTGACTTTCAGAATTGATGGTCTGACCGAGGGAGTAAACACCACCCTGCACTCACCAAATTTGCATTCGTCGTAATCAGTTGTTGCGTTAGGTTGCCCGCATTACTTGTCAATGTTCGTGGAGGTCGGCCAAGAGAGTCGTTTGCCGGTTGTCCATTCTCTGGAAAGGTAAACTCCAGGCTTCTACCCAAGAACACAAAGACGTCTAACAAGTACGGCAATTCATCGGGATCGATCAAAGAGTATGCCATACCGGAACGACCAGCTCGTGCGACACGACCTAGTGATAATTCAAAGGGAAAAAACAAACACCGATATGTGTTAGGGGAAAAGCACATTGATTCACAGTCTGATTCAAGATTGGAACGGATAGTATCAAACAAACAGTGCATCATGGATAACCGGAAGTTTCCTACATAACGAAAAAAATTAAAGGGATAAGGCTAGACCACTAACTGTATTTTGTGAAAAGTATGCACTTGTAAAACCGATGATTATAGACAGCACTTCCAGTTGAAAGATTTGTGAACAACGTTACCTCTTTTTGTAGTTCCGTTTCAGCAGCTCGATACATATTTGCCTGTCGACTCGGACAATTAGAAAGAAGGCGTCTCCATGTTGGGAATGAGGTTCCACTATTCAAAATGATACTCAAATCTTACAATAACATCTACTTGCCTTGAAAGCGCGATGTTCGGGAATGGTAACCATTATCTAGCCACAGCCTGAGCGGCGAATTTTTGTTGAAGCGAAATTAGGTCTCCATCCGTACATGACAGGTGCTGATCAGATGTGTTTACTTATCGATGTTTTTGAAATGCGTACTGCACATAAAAACATCAGTATGTGAGAAACGCTCACATTGGACATTTAGTTATGAAGGCAAAAAATCGTTCAATCTATCCAGACTCCTGGGTGAACTTTTTAAAACGACGAATGAGTTAGCCTCGTCACATTGCTATTAAAATTTGGAAGCAGTGGAAAAACGCAGTTCTCATTTTATCTCAATCCACAACAGAAATTGCCCCTCCTCCCTCTTTCAAAATGAAAGTGCTGGACAAGAAAATTACAAAGGACAGGGACTACATGCAACAGCCCGGATTCGCAAATCGTAGAGTCCATTGTATGGATTTATTTAACCTGCAAGTGTTTTATATTTTGATTTCCCTAACTTGTGTAGATTCATAAATAATATTGATCATTACTTTGATCAGTCATAGTTAAGACTCACCTACACGAAATATTTCTTAGGATTAAAACAAATTCTGCTAAAATGCATAAAACGTGCTAAATCACTGAAAACATGTCAGGGGAAAGAACCATTGTTGAGAATGACACTTGACGTACCGACACGGTGGAGAAATAACTTTGGTTGAGGAGGAAAATGGAAGTTGATCACATTGTCCAAAAGAGGGATATCAACACCCCGGGCAGCAACGTCCGTGACCAGCAGAACTCTGATGCGATTGGCAGTGAACTGTTTGATAGCTTCGTTTCGAGCTAGCGGGTCCAATCCAGAATGAATGGAGGAACACTGGATTCCGAGTTCGGTAAGTAACTGTGAAAACGGTAAAAACAGCCGAGAAATCCCAGGGATAAGAATTGGTAAGTGAAATAAATGTGTTCCACGTCCATAATTTTTCACATCGCAAACAGTATACAGTGACTTAAGTAAGAAAGAGAGTATAGCGGACATCTTCGTGAACAGAGAAAAGGAAGCGTGAACTGAAAAGCTAAGAAGCACTGTACAGCTGTATCAACCTGGTTGGGTCTCATCAGCAGTGCGAATTCGTCGACTAAATTGGGGATCGAACCCTGCACCTCGCAGGTAGAAAGCAAGCATGCTACTCAAACAACTACCGGGCAGTTGATCAGGCATTTCATTTTCCTTGAATAGACTGCACCTATACGCTCATGCCTAAATAACCACATTCAGCGAATTACATTCAAACTGAGCTTATTTCGTGCGTTGTCTGACATATTCTGGTAAACCGTGAAAACGAATCAGAGTGGAAGAACCGTGTGTTCGACCACTTTCCAAGGCATGGGGGCCAATCTTAAATTTTTGATATATACTGCAGTTGGTGGAATCCTGCACTACGAAGTCAGCCATAACTGAATTGGTCTCTTTCAACAGTTTTCTGGAAGTGTTCCCATAAATTGTAGGACTTCCACGATGCGCCTATAAGTAGCCAAGCTAACATTACGTTGGGGCACCCAATTTAGCATTTACCATCGTACAGCCTGCTGTTCAACCCAACGAATGAAGCTTTCAGAAAGTTCAGGATGATATTCAAGAACCGCTTATANGCTGCAAGCGGTCGAAAGAACCACAATGAGAATCCACCGACAACTTCGGGAAGACGCTTGCTGCCTGAACTTTCCCGCTCAATGGTGCTTCTTATGATCGATATTATGTAAGGTTCACTGATAGCCCTCTCGTAAGACAAGACTTGTGACAATGTACTTTGGTAATAAAATCTTGCCAATAACTAGAAATACGCTGTGGTTTTGTTTTCGCATTATAGCTGACTGATAAGTGCACAGTTGCTCAGAGCGAAAGATCGTTCTGCTGAGATAATGTCATTGGGCTGAGTTTATTATGTCAGAAAACCAAGCACGAAACACGCTACGTCGGAATATAGTTCGTGAATATACGGATCATCCAACACCAGATCGTAAGTACTCAAAGTAACTACATACTGTACCAATAAGCCGCTTGTTGATTTTGGCTTCGAATCCTGGAATATAAACACAAGCTGTTATACACAGATCCGATAACTCAGTTATCAGTTAGGCCTTTTTCTGCTTCGTAGACTATACGACCGTCTGTTGTTGACCATTTTCAAAACACTGTTTCTGATTGAATAAGAGAATAGTCTGCCCGTTGGGACGAAAATTTGTGTTATTCAGTAAACAATTTGGTACATTAGCTGAAAAACCACGGGCTAATGATAAATTACTATGCGAAACACTTTGAGGTGAAATTGGATCACTTGAATGAACTGTGTACAGATCCATTAGCAAACGAACAGTAAGGTAGTACTAATGTCTTTCCGCTTGCTGAAAGTCGATATTGTTTTTGCATCACAATTGTTTTCTATGGAGTAGTAACTCCAACGCTTTAGCTAACATCCATTGAGCAAGCGAACAATACAATGTTACGAAAGCAATTGCATCTACAGAGAAGTGAAAATGGCTGAAGACACGGACGAGGATAGCGGCTTTGATATGCTCTCCGATGGGACTGTCTGATATAGTACACAGATGACGTTGTACTGCTATGTGAAGATCCAGGTAAGTTGCAAGCTTTTCTGGATGATTTGTTTGCTAATGTAGTTATGTTCGGCACACCTTTTGCACCTTAAACGTGTAAAATGTTGCTACAAGACTGCGTTGGTTCAGGTCCCAATCTCAATCTAACTGGGGGAGCAATGGAGAAAGTAGATTACTGCCATATGGGCAGCAACACCTCACTTAGTGGATGAAGTTTTGGCATACATACAGAAGCCGCAGTTGGTATTTGCCAACTTGGGACATCTCTAGTGCTGCTGTCACGACACTCGGCTGTCTGAAGGGTCGGGTGTATGCTGCAACTGTTCGGCCAGTTATGCTATATGGTCATGTGGAAACATGATAATGACAGACTATCGGCATTCGAACACCGCTGTTTGCACTGTATTGCACGAGGTTGGTGAGGCAATTGGACAAGCAATGCTGCGGTTGGGCGCTGTTTTATGTAATCTCAGTCGTCTACTGAAGTGTTCTATCTTCACAGTCTAGTTTAACTGGGGTGTGTTACTTATTCACAATATTAGAGTTCCACGAAGTGCAATGTTTGTCGAGTTAGGTAATCGTTGGAAGGATAAGGGCGGTCAAACTAAACGACTTGATGGCATGAAGTCAATGACAAGGAGACTTGGACATTTAGGCTGCCTTAGGTTCTGGGTTAGAGACATCTGGATGAACGTGGTCAATGGCTGGAGAAAGTGAGTGATAGGAATGAGCGTTATGAACAGTGGCGCTCTGGTATCTCAATACCTTACAACCTCAGCTCACCTGAATTTTCTATGGTCATCTTGGCAATGCTTCCAACCCTTCAATCTTCGCTCCACTCCTTCGTCTACAAAACTAACCTAAGGACAGCAACCAAAACCATCGCACAGAAGTGTATGGGCAATGATAGTATTCTTGCGTTGACAGCACTTTTGTTCTACAGTAGGTTTCATCAACAATGCAAATCTACCGACACAACTGACGATCAACCGCAGAACCCCACGGGTGGAACGCTAGCTGCAAATTTGACCGTCTTGCAGATCGCTTTTCATTCTGTTTATACGAGGTACAGTACAACCCGTCTGTGCAAGCTTGTTGCGGGCATATCGCCTCGCTTACCTGATAACTGGAGAAGCGGCTAACATACCAAGGGGAATTTTCATTTTACCTCCTTTTATTGAATTTATAATGATACAATTTTAAGGGAGAGGTAAGAGGCTCAGAATGGGGAAACCCAGGCAGTTGTGGTGGAATTCGAACACACGTCCCCCGAGGCGGTAAGTTGACGTTACCTTCGGCCACCACCACCCTATACGACTGTTTTAGTAGAGCGATGTCCCCAGTGGTCATGGTTATCTTCATAAACATGGAGCGAAATAAAATTCCCCGATCGCTTCTCCAAACGTACTAATTGCAAGTGAGAATGTATAAGGTGGATACGGACTGAACCTATTTTGAGAGGGGGGAGGAAGCAAAGAAAGTGAACCTCTATAGGCAATACACTGTGAATACACACGCTTTAAGCATTCGCTTCTGAAAAGGAGTGAAAACAAGAACACCGCTGTCGGTTCATTGCCATGTCTCCAATGCTTCCAACCAACCAGTTTGTCTTTTGAACTACAAGTGGGAAAACGGGAAACACGTGCTAAGCACTTCTTCATGCCTCATTTCCACTTACTCTATTGACTTGCAATTAATTCATTCGATCTGGAGCAGAAGTACCGAATGAAGCGCGATGAGCAACTGGGCATGCGCATTGACATGTTGTTCTCTTACTGGTTATAAATACGCCTTATCGACACCAAATAGATACTTTTTAGTTGCTTAAAGCCAATTCGTAGTTCAGAAAGGATAGGAGATAACCTATTCATCAGATCTGGATTTTGGAAATATCAGCAAAACATAAATTCATAGTTATCTGGCTAAACCATCTGGCGTTTTGAGGAAGACAGCGCAGTTTTATTGAATATAGAGTTAATACACGGGCACGACAATTATGGGTTCAACAAGACGTCAGCCCACAATGAAACAAAAAAATTGTCGTAAATAATGCTGTTTATCAATGGCACCTGCAAAAAGAAGATCAACTTAAGAAAATTCCTGTAGAATAAAGTGATTTGCAGGAAAACTATGCGATTTACAGCTACGTTAGTTCGGATCCGCTTCAAAGCATCGAAAAAGCTTAGAAAGTTTAGGCTCAGCATTGAGTTGGATGACAGCGAAGCCGGTGAACACCAAATTGGGATGTTAGTAGCGGGGTTCGAACCCCGGATTCCAAGGCCCAAAACTCGCCGATGACGTGACCCACTGGACCACCATACACTGCGACAACATAATGATGGGTCAGTGGATATGAGCCTCCTGTAAGAAAACTAGACACATTTTCAAATGCGGCTGACAAATTCAAAAATATGTCTTGAAAGGGATGCTGGGAAAATAACGCGGTAGTAGCACCCGTCTATCCTCAGACTGTTTCCTATGAATCTACTGGTACCTATCGCGGCAACAAACAAGCCTCCAATATTCGCTTGAGGGCAATTATGCATGTGAACACTCTAAGGACGTCTATCCTAGGCGATCTTCAGCACGTTCCCTGCAGCCTAACTATATATCCTTACTATCACTCGATTCTTTGTCCCAGCAAAGAGAAGTTAAGCTACCTCATCAGTTCAAATCCTTTGTTTTATATCTTTCCCAATACACTTGTAGAGTGCGATACATGGGACACACGATCAGGCGATTATGAAAACGTACCCTCAACCCTCAACCAATTGGGCAAAACAAACTAGTCTAGACATTGTTGTTGCCCTGACATGGACGCCAGACTGGTTGCATATAAAGTGAAGCGTCAACCCCCTTCACATACCCGCTCCTGTCCCGCACCATTCCTTACAACTTACTACTACTTTACTTTTGAACGACTAACTCCTGCGGGAGGATAAGTCGGCTTCCTGGATGTCTCTAATGATGGCGGATAGAAGCCTGATAAACCCGAAGCTTAGTGTTTAGGCTTCTTTCGCATCGATTCCACAACGGTTCGAGAAGTTGTAGGAAGGCTGTTCTAGCTCCATCTACATGGAGTTGGATTTCACCCTTAGCCTGGCTGTTCGGTCTTATTGTAGAGACAAGATACTTGAAAACCTCATTTAATTCGACAGGCTCCCGTTAATCAAGAGGGGTTGTGTCGTGGTAGAAGTTTCGGTCGAAAATGTCTTCGTTTTCGACGTGTTGATCTCTAGCCTAATGGACTGGGCAAACTGATTTATATGACTGACAGTAGGC